TAGATGGTTGACATTTCCTTGACATGCCCTTCTGCCTGGTTTGACTTTGCATACTTCTACATGTTCTGTCATGCAGTTTTTAAAAATAAGCCTAGCCGTGCGAGAAGTATGGATAGTCACAAGCATTTTTGGCCAGTGTAAATATTTTTCATGGTAGATTCTAAAAGCATAGCTCCAAGGTTATACTTTGTGTATAAATGTAACCACTTGAAGGGTCACGTTGATATGGATTGGGCATAGAACTGTTTTTCCTGTAAGGTAATATTCAGATTGAGCAAGATGTCTTCACTGAAATTAAGTTTTATAGCCTAGTTTGGCAAACTGCCATTATTAATGCATTTAAATAGACTTGTTTACTGGGGCGTCAACCTCAATTTGAATCATTTTTATTAGAAAGAGTCATATATTTACTATGTCTGCATTATTGATGTTGTATACTAAGGGACATTACTTTCAGCCTATATTAAAGCCATATGTATATATATACACACACACATATATATACACACACACATATATATACACACACACATATATATGTGCCCATTACTATGTAACTGGTTTTTTGAGGCAAGGAGATATCTTTGCTTTATTTAAGATTTATTTTTCAACTTATGGCATTTCAAAAGTTCCATGTTAATGAATTGTTTATCCCCAGCTATCCCGATTTATATTAACCTGCTTCTAGATTATTCTAAAATCAAAATCTAAATGCTTAGTGATGTCTTAAGTTTCTAAAAACTATACATTGTTAAAATTTTTAGATGCATTTGTTCCACTTTTATTTTTAGAGCTTAGATATTCCTAGTAAAATAATTACGTTAATTATTTAAAATACTTAAAAGTCGTTTTATCACTATGTTTCTATATCTGTTTGTAACACGTAGTGATAAATGAGAAGCAATTGATTCCCGAAAAAGACATGTAAAATTGTTTTAAAATGTTTGCCTATGTTTCCTTAAAACTTGTTCTTTTTATTTCTGTTTTTTAAAGTGTTGGATACAGTAGTTCAGGAGCTTTCTCAAGAAACTAGGGTTGTTATTGTAAAATGCAGATGTGAAATAAACTTCATAACGAGTTAGTGGACAGAAGGAACTAGCCTACAGAAAAAGTAAGAAAAACATAGAGGCAAACAATTATTAGTATCATTACTGTGCTGTCATACATATAATGACAGACGTAATCCTGACAACAGCCATGTACTGTAGGTACCATTAACATCATTTAAAAGGTGAGGAACCAAAGTCTTTCAGCTAAAAGAAGCAGAGCCAGAATTCAGACCCCCTAGTAGTGGCAGAACGAGAATTCAGAATTCAGAATCATGGCTAGGGCTTTCTTTATATTGCACTGCTTATCTGTCTCTTTTGTGAAAAAGTGATACTTTCCCCAAGCTAGCAGAGAGAAACAGGATCCTAGTACCCTAGCCCTCCAAAGATAACTCATACAGAAGAGTAAAGCAGAAAAAGTGGATGTGTTGAGGAAAAAAAACATTGCACTTAAAGAGCATCTGATAATACAGTTTTGCAGATGGATTTAGCACTCTGAAAACAGAGTTTAGCCAATAGAAAGTTATAGCAGTTAGGCTGTTCCACTGAGTCAACAATAATACTTTGACTTTGACTTTTTTGTTTTTGAGTTTTGCTCTCTAGATTTTTGGGTTTTGTTTTTCTTGAGACAGGGTGTCACTCTGTCACCCAGGCTGGAGTGCAGTGGCACAATCCCAGCTCACTGCAACCTCTGCCTCCCAGGCTGAAACGATTCTCCAATCTCAGCCTCCTCAGTAGCTGGGACTATAGGTGTGCATACCATGCCTGGCTAATTTTTGTATTTTTAGTAGAGACAGGGGCTCACTATGTTGCCCAGGCTGATCTTGAACTCCTGAGCTCAAGCCATCTGCCCACCTCAGTCTCCCAAAGGGCTGGGATTACAGATATGAGGCACTGTGCCTAGCCTTCTCTCTAGTATTAAGCTTTATAAAGAGAGGGGACAAATTTATATATTAATATTCTTTTAAGACTCTAGAACATAAATCAACAAAGAATATGAAGAGATAAATCACAAAAGATCACATACCTTGAATAAGCAACCATCTGCAATGTATTCAATCACTGATCTTTAAAAAATACATGGAAAGATTTCTGTTTTTTCAATTGGCAGAAGTATTTTAAAAACAATAGTCAGTTTGGGCTGGGGGCGGTGGCTCACACCTGTAATCCCAGCACTTTGGGAGGCCAAGGCTGGTGGATCACGAGGTCAGGAGTTCGAGACCATCCTGGCCAAGATGGTAAAACCCTGTCTCTACTAAAAATACAAAAATTAGCCAGGCGTGGTGGTGGGCTACTGTAATCCCACCACTTGGGAGGCTGAGACACGAGAATCACTTGAACCTAGGAGGCAGAGGTTGCAGTGAGCTGTGATTGTGCCACTGCACTCTAGCCTGGGCAACACAGCAAGACTCCGTCTCAAAAACAAACAAAAAACAGCAACAACAAAAACAACAATAGTTTGTATACGTTGTAGAGCTTAATGTAGAGTTCAAACTATCAATTGGATGTTTCAGAGAGAAACGAGTTTTAGAGAACAATTTTATAAAGTGTAGTAACAGTCAATAGTCAGTTTGTATACCTTGTAGAGGTTATTTACAATTCAAACTATCATTGATTGGGTATTTCAGATAGGAACAAGAGCTTTAGAGAGCAATTTTATAAAGTATATTAACAAGCATTAGGATTACATCATCATTGGACTCAAGAAGATCTTTATTGGAAACCTTTCCTGGGAAAATAAAACAGAAAAAACGTTATATATAACTGCTATATATGTGTTAGTCATAGAATTACTTAGAATTGATGGAAATTGGAAACATCCTATGTTCCCGACAATAGAGAATTAAAGTATTGATAGCAGGTACAATAGTTATTTGAGGCAGTACATTACTTAGCTCTTAATAAGAGTGGGTTGATTGGTTGGTTGGTTGGACACATGGGAGAGATGGAGGCAGGCAGGCAACAGGATTGGCCTTCTGAAAAAAGGATTTGCAAAGTCATTGAAAATTATGTTATAATAACAGTAGCCAAGTGGAAACTCATTAAAGTGTAGAGTTTAATGCTAAGTGAAAAACAGGATGAAAACTACTTGTATTCTATGAGAATTGGCTATAACACTTAAATCTGGAGTAGTATATGAAAACCCTTATGCAGGTGAAAAATTAATGGAAGGAAATATAATATGGTTGTCCCTTGGTATTTGTGGTAGGTTGGTTCCAGGACACCCTGCAGACCGTGGATACCAAGATCAAAGATGTTCAAGTCTCATATAAAATGGCATAATATTTGCATATAACCTATGGATACCCTCTTATATACATTAAATCATCTCTAGATTACTTATAATATCTACTACAATGCAGATGCTGTGAAAATAGCCGTTATACTGTACTGGCTTATTATTTGTATCTTTAAATTGTTGTGTTATTGTTTTTTTGTGCTTGATTTTTTTTTCCCAAATATATTCAATCTGTGACTGGTTGAATTCAAGCATGAAAATCTGTGGATATTCAGACAGGACTGAATGCGTATGTGATTTTTCTTTATGATGTGGTACTTTTATATAATTATAAAAAGGATACATGAACTGTTAGATTTAGAAATATATTTTTTTTAACCTGTTAACAGCAGAAGTGTACATCTACACTGCTCTTTTATAAAGTTCTATGTTAAGCCTACCCACTGGGTCTATAATATTATGCTACAGTGATACCCCTATTCACTTCTTGGGGAGCTATCCTAAGTTTAGATTTAGGATATAACCATACATCTATTCTTAAATTCCTTTTTCTAATTTGGCAAAAGGTAAAGCTTAGTAATACTATTTTTTCCACTAAATTTACTCCACAATGTGTTTGTAGTTTCAGAGTATATATGATTGTGGGTAGAGTGTCAACACAGTCCTCTCCTTCTGCATGAGAACCTGATCTTTGCTTAATTCTCTAGCTCTATTCCCCTGAAGACCTGATTAAAAATTGGAATGTCAACTATGTTACTAAGCAATATTGCTTATAGTAAATATTCCAGATCTGGACTGGGAGAATTATTAATATATGATTAATATATGATGGAAGGCATAACTGGGGCCGGGGGAATCCTTGAGATTAGTGACTCATAATGGGCCTAGTCCTGTGGGGTATCACGTTTTGATGCCAGAGTGTCTCCCATATCTGCCCCATACTGATCTCATCTGCTTATACCTGCTTGAGGGACTCAGCTGAAGAAGAACTCCCGATGCTGTCATCCTGGCAAACTATAGTACCCACCCTATATCCTTACTAGCAGACTGGTGCTAGTGGGACCTTCTGTGGGTCTGAATGTTGGTTGATCCTAAGAAGACTCCAAGAGGATATTTATTACATTAGTATAATTCTAATTAGTTTTTAATTTTATTTTTGAAGTGCAAAAGTAGTATACTAAGTTTATAGTAGTTAATTCAGTCAGTTTTTTCAATGCTTGGAAAAAGCATTAGACTGTGAGTTAGAACATATGGCTGTTAGTCCAGTTTTTCAGTAATGGATTATATTACCTTGGGCAAGTCACTTAATCTCTTTGAAACTCAGTTTTCTTAAATGTTAGTTAAGAACTTTGACCGATACCATTTCTGATGTTTTTTCCAACTCTAAATCTTATGATTCTCTGATTCTCTTATCATCATAAGTTAATTTTTAGTCCTCTTTTATAGTAGCATTCCAGATTTCTTTTAGCCTGGAAGATGATAAGCTGAAAGCTTGTGATGCTGCAGTGTACATTCTTCCACATTTAGGTTTTGAAAATGTTGTCACATTATAGCTGTGTAGTTCTAGAAGAAACATTTAATCTGCCTATGGGATAGAATGTAAAGAATTTACATTAAAAATAATTGGGGAACTTTGGGAGGGGAAAAATAAATCAGAATGAAAGTTTGAAAAGTTTTTGATTCTTTAAAAATTGTATTTCTACTTTTGTTTATAGGTTGTGAACTGGCTAGAAGGGCCTGGATCAGAACAACTAAGAGCCCAGTGGGGCATTGGAGATTCCATTAGGGCCTCCCAGGCCCTACAGCAGAAACATGAAGAGATTGAGAGCCAGCACAGTGTGAGAGGCTTTTTCCTCTGCAAGTTACAATGCTATTATGAACGTGGATAATTAGTAGCACATGTGGTACTGAGTGATAAGTTGCTGCAAACTTTGGTATGGGGCATGAAGTACAGTTTGTTAAGTGCCTAGAGGTCATAAAGTACATTTTGATTACTTAGTACATGTTAATTAGAAGGTTGTTTTTGGTTTTGTCTGTAATGCAGTTTAATTATATTTTTATAGAAGCACGATTTGCATGAAATTTTAAAGCTACAGTGACAGAAAAAAGAGTGATAGTACAAAAACAGAGCTTTCATCTGTAGTCTCTGTGACAGAAACTTCTGTTTTCAAGTCCCCCCACCCCCACTTTATTGGGAGTATATAGTACGATTAAATGCCTGAGAGTGATAGCAGAATTGCTGCATTAAACACAACTGATGGAGAGTAAGTCCAGAGGGTGCAGAATATTTTTCCATTCTCTGAGCATTTAGGGGTCCCTTTTGTATTTGTGAAAGGAGTAATCAGACAAATCACAGGTATAAAATTGGGAAATAAGTAGATTCTTAAGCAGATTATAGATAATAATTGTTCGAGATAATTTAAAATTTAACAACTTGTTATGTGAAAGAAGCTGGTGTTCATTAAGCTCCTGCTCTGTTATAGTTAATTCTTCATTACTGAGAAAGAGATGGTACAGTTTGTGGACTGGGTAGCTCACCTCCTTCTCCCCAAGGTCATATCACTTTGGTAATTTAAAATAGATTAAATAAAAAATTGGAAAAATAAAATTTGAATCAATTCATTCCCTTCTCCTTAGGTTATTTGTCTTAAAAAGGTTGGTTAAAATGTTAAACTCTGGACCCAGGTGAGCATTAAGTACCATCTGAACATTAATTTCTGCAGCGTTTCTTCTTACCTCTAATTATGTTGGATAGTATTAGGAAATACCCATTTTTAACTAAACAAGATTAAAAAATAAGTAATATGATTTGCTTGGGAATAAATTTGAATGAGTAAATCTCATCTTTACTAGAATTTAACAGTATCTGATACTTATTTTTCTTCTAAATATATTCCATTTTGCTTAGTTTCCTCATACTGCTTTCTTTATAATATTCTGTAAATCAGGAATAACAATTACTGGTATTGGCAGAAAATCTACATACTATACCCTAAAGTAGTTGTAATCTACCTGAAGGAATAATAAGAGATATTACAAGATTTGGAATTGTCTAAAGGCACTATACGTATATTCCTTGGAATTTTTCTAATTAGTACTTGTAAAAAACTTGAAAATGCAATCTGATAATTGAAAATCGATTTATTTTATGCGTTTCACAGGTTCCAACATAATGGTTCTTGCTTTTATACTAAAATAATCATATTACAAACCCTGTTCCTGAGGATATAATCTTTTAATTCTCTTGGTACTTTTAAAATAACTTAATGTTTTGATTTTTTTTTAAAACGTGGATTGTGATTTATTTGAACCTGATAGACTGTTCTAGAACATGTTACTATAGTTAGAGTCTACAATTTTGTTCCTCTCTTTAGTTCCTAAAAACTGTATTTACTCCAGAACATTCTAGACTTCACCTAAGGGGATTTAGTTATGAAAGTATTCCAAAAGTTCTTTTTAAGAAGGGCACATGACACATGAGGATCCTAAAGACAGGATTTATCTATATTTTATTATTTTTTTAAATGCCAAGATAAATAATTATAAATTGGGTTGTATACATACTGTACTGTACTCTTAAGTTTACTAAAAGAATTCAAAAGCAAATTTTATATTGCATATAGTATGGATGAAGTTGCAGATGATATACATAGAAATTGCTATGTTCAGATGTTGGTTTTGTGTTTTTAATATATTTATAAGGTTTTCAAAATCAGCTTAAAGAAACATCTCTTAAGGGTGGTCCTTGCCATGTGCTTAAGCTTACTTATAATATGGAACCAATATATAAAACTTTTGAATTGCAAAATACCTTATAAATTATTCTGATGTCCTCATCTTATTTTATAGACAGACAAACTGGGAAGCTACATTTTTTGCTCAATGAATAGTTGAACTATGGTTAAAACACAGATCTCTTGATACCCGGGGGGATCCTTTCTCTGGCTCTCTCTTAGAGAAAGCTACTAAATTTCACAGATACGCATAAGCTACAGTATTTTTTCATTCTTATACTTTTAATACTTAGAACTGTACATATACATTGACATCTGCATTTATAGACATAACCTAAAGAAAAGAAACATTGATGGCTATCAGAGATTTTATTTCCTTAAATCACGTGTGATATTTGGGATTTGTTTCAGAATTGGGAGGTAGGGACAGATTGAATGGATGGGAGTGTATGTGAAACAGAATTAGCCATAAATTGATCATTATTGAAGCTGGATGGGAAGGAGTTCATTATACTGTTCTTCCCACTTTTGAAGTATTTTGAAAAGCAGGTTGTACGTTTTAGCCAATAGGTGGCACTGCATTGTCACCTTGAGAATAGGTTGGTTGATGCTGGATGAATATTTTAGCTTATGATGTTTAAGATATTCTAATATTTTATTAAAAACTTTCTTTTCTCTCTGTAACTAAGAGTTAACAGATTAAAGCATTATTGGAATTGTTCAAGTCTTGTGAAATTATAATGACTAATTTCTGGCATTGACAGCTATTAACGGTAGAATTTGAGAAAACTTTTAACATACAATTTTGCATTACCAGCTCAATGTCATATATTAAATTTTAGAGTCCGTATAAAAGCACAATGCAGAAATAAAGCTAAAAACCTCAAATTTGTTAGGATGTTGAGTTTCAATAAATAGAAAAATGAAATTTCTGCCAACATGTAGTTCTAGTTCAAGGGTTGGTAATTAGAAGTTAACTTGGTTTTTTAATACAACGCACACACACAAAAATAAGGTACATGAAAATGGTTATAGTAACTGGCAATAAATTTAAAAGTAGTTTAGTTCAATAATCTAATTTTATGTTTTGGGTTGAAGGAAGTGTGTGGTAGGAACAGCGTGTGTGGTAGGAAAAGCGTGTGTGATAGGAACATGGAGGAGCATAAATATCTGAAACTGCTTGAGAGTTTTGTCACTGTCACACCGTGTCATAGTGCTGACTTCTGGACTACAAAGAAACCACTTTCTCTGGTGTATTATGCATAATAGTAAGCAGCAGAACAGGTCTACCTGGTGAATCAAGACTCATTTCTCCTAATGTATAGTCTGAGTATAATCACTTTTTTAACCCGAGTGGGCAGGGTTTCCTTCCGCCTATGTATGGATTCCCATTTCATGGTATAAAGTATAAATACCCATCATTTCACCACGTATGCATCACTGCCAATATGATTGCAGTGTCAATCCTGACTGCTCGTGTCCTAAATGTGATCCTTCAAGCTCTTTTCTTACTTACCATCTCAATCCAAATCCCAAATATTGGTGTCGTCTTTTTATTTTGCTATAAAATAATCGTTTTCTACACAGTTAAATATACATAAGAGACAGACCAAAGAATGGCTGTAAGTGAACAAAATACACCTAAGGTTCTAGGGAATCTACATTCCTGTTTTTTTTTTTTTTTTTTTTTTTGGTGTTTTTTTGTTGTTGTTTTGTTTGTTTGCTTTTTGTTTTTGAGACGGAATCTAGCTCTGTCACCAACCTGTAGCACAGTGGTGCTATCTCAGCTCACTGCAACCTCTGTCTCCCAGGTGCAAGTGATTCTCCTGTCTCAGCCTCCTAAGTAGCTGGGATTACAGGCATGCACCACCACGCCCAGCTAATTTTTGTATTTTTAGTAGAGACGGGGCTTTACCCTGTTGGCCAGGATGGTCTGCATCTCCTGACCTCGTGATCTGCCCACCTTGACCTCCCAAAGTGCTGGGATTACAGGCATGAGCCACTGTGCCCGGCCGTACATTGCCCTGTTTTTTAGGAAGAAACATTTGGATGAATTTTAAATATATGCAAATGTATCCGCCAGATTTTTTTCCTCTCCACATCCCAGAGAGAATTACTATTTCTTTATTTCAACCTCAATCAGTAATATCAGTGTCTCTAATTTCAGGTATTAATTTCTTGAGATGTACTGGTCCTCATAATGTATTTACATCCCTGGTCAGGTTGCTAGAGCCTATATTTTACAAATTCAAACCAGGAAATAATTAGCTTCACAGTGGTGGTTCTTAAACCTTGATGGGCGTAAGAGTCATCAGAGATGCTTGCTAAAATATATGTTCCAGGGCCTAACTCCCAGATACTGATTTAGTAAGTCAGGGGTGAAGCTTAGGCATTTTTAATAAACACCCCAAGTGGTCTAATGCTGGTAGCTCTGGAAAGTGCTATTCTGGGACTCTAATCCTTTACTACTTTTCTCAGAATCGTTGCTATTACTTCTTCAAAGAGTTAAGCCTATTTCTTTAGAGCATTTAATGATCTGGAAGTACTATGAATAAGGTATTGAAATCCTTTTGTATTTTAGAGCATGACAGTGATAATTTTCTCAGGTAATGTTTTCTACTTTAATATAGTCTCTATTAACCATTATAAACTATATAGTTTAAAAATATTCTATGCATATTATTGAGTTAAATCCAAACAATAACCGATAAACAAGGTAAGACAGATATTATCATCACCATTGGATACAGGAGGATTTCTCTTCCTTAGCACACTCTTGACACTTTGGGCCAGATAAATCTCTGTCGTAAGGGCTGCCCTGCACATTGTAGGGCATTCTGCAGCATCACTGGCCTCTGCTTACTAGATGCAGTAGCATCCTTGCTCCTCAGTTGTGATAACCCAAAATGTTTCCAGACACTGCCACATGTTCCTTGAGTGACAAGATTACCCTCTGTTGCCTACTTAATGTAATGTCAGTAAATCTACAGTGATTAATATGTTTTACACATTCAATCAGTGCATGTTAATTGAGCACATACTATGTGTCATGTGTTGTTCTAGGCTTTTGTGATATAGTACTGTCTTACTATATGGAATTTACATTCAAGTTGGGGAGTGGAGAGCAATATAGGTGTAGATTTTAGGAAAGGCCTGAGGAGATGACATTTAATCAGAAACCTTGAAATGATGTCAAGAAGTAATCCAAACAGGGCAATTCAGATAGAGGACACAGCAGTAGAAATACCCTAACACAGGAACATGATTGAGGAGCAGCAAGAATGTTGGTGTGGCTAGAGTACAGGGAGCAAAGGAGAGTCACAGAAAATAAAGTTTTAGAGGAAGTCAGGGGCCAAAACATGTAATATCTTTTTAGCCCATGAACAGAAACTTGAAATTTATTTTAAATGTTATGTGAAGTTATTTGAAACTTTTGGACAGATAATTAATTTATGTTTTAAGCAAATCACTGGCTATCGTGTAGAAAATAGGGAACAGAGACTAGCAGTGAAAATGGAAGGCAGGAGGCTGATAGATGGAGGCAGTAGAAGTAATGAGAATTGATAGAAGTTGATGAGGTTGAACCAGCAAGACTTGCTGATGAAAGAATCAGGCTTTTGGCCTTAGTAACTGCTAAGGCAGGGAGGACTGCGAGAGGAACAGGTTGGGAGGATAGTGAATAAGTGTCTTTGGCAGCAGGTTAGATTTTAGATATCTGTTAGTCATCCAAATGAAGGTGGCTAGTGGGCAGTTGGGTATCAGTATCTGGGGTTCATGGGAAGGGTCAAGGTTGATGATTAATTTGGTAATTCTTAGCCTATAGATATATTTAGAGCCTATATTAGCTTGGTAGTTCTTAGCCTATAGATATATTTAAAGCCTATATTAATTTGGTAATTCTTAGCCTATAGATCTGTTTAAAGGCATGGGACTAGGTGAAGTCATCCAAACCCAGTGAGAAGAAAAGAGAGTCTCTGGAAAACTGAGCCTTGGGTCAGCCTAAACTTTAAGTGCAGAAAGAGGAAGGAGAGCCAGCAAAGAAGGGTAAAAGGAGCTGTTGTGTCTCAGAAAACAAGAGAAAAGGCCATTTAAAGGAGGAGGAAGTGCTTACTTGTGCCAAATGCAGCTGTTTGTTGAGAGGCTCAATAAATAAAGACTGAGAATTGACCATTGGATTTGTGGCAAGATGGAATTTTTTGGTGAATTTGACAATTGGTTTCAGAAGGGTGGGAAGAACAAAATCCTGATTGGAATGGATTAAAAAAGAATGAAAAATGAGAAAAGAGTGAATACAGAGAACTCCTTTAAGAAAAGGTTTTTTTTTAAAAAAAAAAAACAGGTTTAATTTCAGCATAGTAAAATGCACAAATCTTAAATGCGTCTTTTATTGTTTAATATATTATAGCTTTTTTATGTGCTGGTGGAAATAATCCAGTTGAGACAGAAGAACTGATGGAAGAGAGAGAAATAACTGTGAGAGCAAAGCTTTGTGTAGGCAACAGAGATAGCCTGTAATGCACGAGTGGAGTGGTTGGCCTTAGAAGAAGAGATAGGCTGCTCACTATTACAGCACTGAGGGCAGAGCATAGGGCTGTAGAATGGAGGGTTGGGGATTTGTTGGTGGGAAGATGAAAGAGTTTTCCGATTACTTCCCTGTGAATTAAGATCTTTGGCTGAGAATGAAGAGGTGAAAAGGGGATTGGAGACTGATAGTGAAAAAAACATAAATGATCATGAGAATGAGAAAGTGAATTTACTAGAGAAACATAAATGGATTGCCAAAGACTCATTTGAGATTATTTAGTCATAACTTTAAACAGAGATATGTCGTTCCTTTATAGTTTATAAGTGTGATGATGGGTGCTCACACTCATGTGAGATGTGTCTCCCTCTAAGCCTTGTAACAACATCAGCACATTACCCTTCTGATGTGAGGGGGAAAAAAAGAGAGAGAACGCTATCCACCTAGTTTTTAATCTACCCATGTTCAGCTTCTGTGGTACAGGCACACATTAGGCAGAGAAAACAGATCTCAGGTTTCAACAGGTGATTCTGATGGAAGAACAGAAAGCCAGGCATGGGCATGGGTTATATGCCGGGAGGTGGTTATAGCCTTTGATCGAGGATGGAAGTGAGGACAGAGGTTCTCATGTGCTGGACATTAGAGAGGTCAATAGATAGGTGGATTCCATAGGGTTGCAGGTGTGAGCCTACAAACAGAGGTGAGTGGGAGAGTCAGTGGTGGTCAGAAAATGGGTTTCATGAAATTGAGATTTCCGGAGCTGCATAGTAGTATATGACGACAAGTTTTTATGGCCAGTGGAGGAGGTAGCTCAGTTGAGGTGAGGACAAGTTAGTTGGAGGTGAGGGAGGGAGTCAAGGAACTGGAGGTTCATGATGGTGGTGGGTGCCTATGTGGTGGAAGTCACTAAGAAGGCTTGTGCTGAGAGGAAGGCAGTGACCTTTGCTAAACCCTTCTGTGGATGAGGGAGTGCAACAGAGAAAGCTGACAGGATGTAATCTAACAGCATACACTTCAAAGGGGATGTGGTTTTTTGAAAGAAGGAGGAAAAGAAATGGTCTGCAAGTAGTGAAGAACGAGGCAGCCATCAAACCCACCTTCAGGCTTGCAGTATGTCAGACATGGAAACAGTAATCAGTTGAGAAGGCTGCAGGGGTAACTGAGGGCAGACAGGTTTCACTTAGAGCAAGGAAGAGAAGGGAACTTTTAGAGGCCAAGGATTGAGTTCCAGGGATCACAGTTAGGATTTGAGGGTTAGGAACTTCCCACCCTGAATTTTAATAATTTTTGCCTTAGGAAAAAAAAAATCATGTATTACTTAGTTTATCTGGAGAACTTGTAAAAGGTAATCTCTACCAGGAACTAATTTGAGCCTTAATTTACTTTGTAACATCTTGATTACAGGAATGGTTTGCAGTGTATGTGGAACTTAATCAGCAAATTGCAGCACTCTTGAATGCTGGCGATGAGGAAGATCTTGTGGAACTAAAGTCACTGCAGCAACAACTTAGTGATGTTTGTTATCGACAGGCCAGTCAGCTGGAATTTAGGCAAAATCTCTTACAAGCAGCTCTTGAATTTCATGGTGTTGCCCAAGATGTAAGTGTCTACTCTGATTCTTTTCTTTTCTTCAAATTATCTGAACACTTACCTATGCATAATTTTTTTCAGGTTTGCATGCCTCCTAAATTATTTTTCTGAACCAATAAAATGATTTACTGGTGGGGGTAATGAGATAAAATTCTTTGATTTTTTAAAAACAAGTATTTTTTTAAGTCATTCTGCATGCAATTCAACCTTTTATTATCTAACTAGAGTGTTCCAGTCTAGTAGAATATTTTATTTTTACTCTTTCTCAGTGTTTATGCTTTATAACGTAGATGGAAATGGAAGTCTGCTGACCTGGTTGTACTTCTTTGTCTTCCTGGTGCATGCATCTGTGTGTTCTATCTTCCAGATAACACGTATTCTAATGATTTGTCCTTGTCTTGTAACAGTGTAGTCTTTTCAAGTGTAATTGTGATAACCTCGTTAGATATAAACCTCGTTAATCATTAAACACTTTAGATGCTGATTACATCAGGGTTATCTCTTTGGTGTCCCTCTGCTTTAGTTGTCTCAGCAGTTGGATGGCTTATTAGGGATGTTGTGCGTAGATGTAGCACCAGCTGATGGAGCATCGATTCAGCAAACTTTAAAACTGCTTGAAGAGAAGCTGAAAAGTGTTGGTAAGCAGATTTTAAAAATGCTGAAACATAAGGTTTTTTTTTTTTTTTTTGAATATCATTACCATGGTTAGACAATTAAGTCAACTTACACTGAACTAAATATTATTATTTTCAGGAAGCAGAGAAAAATAGTATAAAAAGGTGTTATTCCCTTGAGGGGTTATAATTTATGCTGAAAATTTTATTTTTCATAGTTAGTCACTCCTCCCTCCCCTGGGCATTTACCCTTGCCTGTTTACCCAGCTATATCTACAGGTGCTATGTCTTGCATATACTATGAACAATTATTTGTAGTGCATGCATAAACTGTAATTAGCTGTGAAATGTTCTGTGGTAAACCCTGTATGCCCCAAATTGTGTTTTATGCAATGATTTTTGTTGTTGCTTTATCCTAACCTTGTGAAAAAATGGTTGGTTTGGTTTTTTGGTTCTTGTCTCACCAAACTGGGAATATTGCCAGATTACCCACTCTCAAAGGAGTGGGGTCCATTTACATTAAGGGGTCCAGTTACATTAAGCTAGTTCTATCGTTTGACATCAAGGCCTTTAAAACTTTCTACAGCAGGAAGCACAGTGAACTTTCCTAAAAGGTCAGGATGTGAAAATGGGAAGGTGGGGAGTCGTATCAAGGGGGATAAAAGGGGAAATGGCAATGGAAGAGAGGAAACAGGAACTTAAGGCAGAGAACTAGTAAAATGTGGTTGCACATGACTAAATCAAATTAATTATTGAAAACTGCCTTAGGGAATTGGTTTGAAAAATCACGCTTGTACTGGACATTTTACTTGCTTACAGCCTTTATTTTATTTTATTTTATTTTATTTTATTTTATTTTTATTTTTATTTTTATTTTTTTTAGATGGAGTCTTGCTCTGTTGCCCAGGCTGGAGTGCAGTGGTGCCATCTTGGCTCACTGCAAGCTCTGCCTCCCAGGTTCAAGCGATTCTTCTGCTCAGCTTTCTAAGTAGCTGGGATTACAGGCACCTGCCACCACGCCCGGCTAATTTTTATATTGGTAGTTTTAGTAGAGATGGGGTTTTGCCATGTTGGCCAGGCTGGTCTCAAGCTCCTGACCTCAGGTGGTCTGCCCACCTCGGCCTCCCAAAGTGCTGGGATTACAGGCGTGAGCCACCGCGCCCAGCCAGCCTTTGTTATTTTAACAGATGATATGCATAATACGTATTTAGTATTTAATATGACAAATGAATTTTATTTTAAAATATTAGAAGTTTTCTTCAGCCACAGTCTTTGTTTAAAAAAAAAAAGTTCCTTTACACATGTAATTTGGAGAATTGTAAATACACCCTAATTGTTGCTTCCTATGGTATAGAAGCTAGACTGTACCTTTAGTCACAATGTTCAACATCCTTTGACATTGATAATACATTGCTGAAGTGTCTTAAAATTTTGCAAGGCTTATACACTTTTTTAAACAACATATTTGCCTTGTTCTCCTATAAGTTGGACAGCATAAAAGCAGGAAGAAAAAATAGAAAATTGTTTTCTATTAGAAATGGAAATTTTCGTACTTTTCTTCTGCCTTCATTTTTTAAAAGTAATTATTGTCTATGGAAACCCATGTTTTCAAAATTCCTTTTAAGGAGAGAATTTGGCATGAGAGAGAGCTCCAGTTCGAGTCACATTTAAAGGGTTTTATTGCTTGAAATGTTCATAGGATGGAGTCTTGGGATTGCATCCCAAGATGGTTTACTGTGCAAAGCTTCTATACTTGGGATCCAGGTACAATATCTGATGAGACGATTTGTTTGAGGGAGGGAAAGCACCTTAGTTGTGTAAGAGATTAAATCTAGCAACTTTTGTTTTAGATGTGGGATTGCAAGGTTTGCGTGAAAAAGGTCAAGGTCTCCTGGATCAGATCTCCAATCAGGCATCCTGGGCCTATGGAAAGGATGTAACCATTGAAAATAAAGAAAATGTGGACCACATACAAGGAGTGATGGAAGATATGCAGCTTAGAAAACAAAGGCAAAGTTTGACTATTAATGTTAATTTTTACTAAAGTAACAATATTAATTAAAATAAAAAGTTATATAACATATTTTATATACAGACAAAACGTTCTTAACTGTTATATAGAAGACATATAGTAGGTTTTTGGTGAATGTAATAATTACTGTGTATAATTTTACTAACAAATAGTAATAATTTATTCAATTACTAGGTACCATTTCCTTTTTACTGCGTTGTAAAAATTTCAGTTATACTCAACTACTTCATATTCCATATCCCCAATGTAGTCTATGACTCTGTTCTGCTTTAAAAAAAACTTTGTGAAGAATAATTTTGCTTTTTACATTTCATTTAGTTTAGAGTTGCCATTAAACTTGTCATCTCCATTGATCTGTTTCTTCATCTAAACTTACAGAATGTCACACATTCATTGTTCTCATATTTGCTGTAGTAGGATTGAACAATGGACTAGTGATGTTTAGTTTCATTTTCTATAAAACCAGGAATTTAAAAGATTATTTGAAAATTCAGTTTGCAATAGCAACTACGAAGTATTGCAAAGTAAAGGATTAAAATTGTCTATGAAATATATACAGTCTAGCATGGTTATATGAAATGTTGCACACTTAAAAATTTTATGATCATCAACAAAACTTCACAGAAAGCTTCCTTCTACATCACAGAGAAAACAGTCATGAGGCAGAAATTTCTTCCCTCCTATCTGCAAACTTGCTTTATTCTCACACCACAGAGGATGACAGAGCTCTCCTCTTCTCAAAGCTGAGCTTCCATTTAGGCTCTGATTCTGATCACCCTCCTGACTCCTAACTCCATCAAATCCCATTCTCTACTCTGCTTCCTGTCTTTCACTTAAATGCTTAAATTTCTCCTATTTTAAAAATAATAGTCACACACATGGGTGTGTCTTCCTCTTCAACTCTTTGTCTTTTAGCATTAGAGCTCTTTTTCCTCACAGCTAAGTCATTTGGATAGGTTTACAGTACATTCATACTACTTACCCACTACCTCCAATTTATTTTCAACCCTTTTCAGTCTGACTTCTACCCTCACTGTTTGACTCAACATTGCTCTTACCAGCATTACCAACATAATAAATGCTGGATCTTACTTAAAATTCAGAGAATACTTATAGTCCTGACTTGCTTAACTGTGATTAGAGTCAGGCACAACTGACTTTTCTTTCATTTCGTCTTTCTTGAAAACACATTTATGATCCTTCTCTGTTTCTTCTTGGTTTTTGTCACTGATTTGTTGGCCACTAGCTCAAGTTACCACTTCTAGAGTTTGTTCTGAGGCCAGATTCCCTTCTTTGTATGTTCTCCCTGGACCTTCTAAACACTACTTGAATTACTTTCTTTAATAGATCATAGTTTAGTAGTTACAGCTCTTACCAAGACCCTCTCCCGTGCTATAGACCCATAATTCCAGTTGCCTACTTAGTGTCGCCTGCGGAATGCCCCGTGTACTGCTGAAATCTAGTGTATTAGTCCATTCTTGCATTGCTATAAAGAACTACCTGAGACTGGGTAATTTTTAAAGAAAAGAGGCTTAATGGGCTCACAGTCCCACAGGCTGTACAGGAAGCATGGCTGGGGAAACCTCAGGAAACCTCCAATCATGATGGAAGGGGAAGGGGAAGCAGACACATCTTACTTGGATGGAGAAAGAGGAAGAGAGTGAAGGGGTAGGTGCTGCACACTTTTAAACAACCAGATCTCATGAGAACTCACTTACATTAAAACAGCAAGGGAGATATATGCCCCCATGATCCAGTCATCTCCCACCAGGCCCGTTGTATTAGTCTGTTCTCACGCCGCTGTAAGCATATATCCAAGACAGGGCAATTTATAAAGGAAAGAAGTTTAATTGACTTACAGCTTTGTAGGGCTGGAGAGGTCCCAGGAAACAGAATCATGGTGGAAGGAAAAGCAGACACATCCTTCTTCACATGGCAGCAGCAAGGAGAGGTGCAGAGTGAAGAAGGGGAAAGCACCTTATAAAACAATTAGATCTCATGAGAACTCACCATCATGAGAACAGGATGGAGGTAACTGCTGCTATGATTCAATTACCCTCCGCTGGGTCCCTCCCACAACATGTGGAGATTATGGGAACTACAATTCAAGGCGAGATTTGGATGGGGACACAGCTGAACCATATCGCCCCTCCTCCAAATTTGGGGATTACAATTCAACATGAGATTTGAGTGAGGACACAAATCCAAACCATATTATTCTACCCCTGGCTCCTCCCAAATCTGATGTCCTTCTCGCATTGCAAAATAAAGTCATCCGTTCTCAACCAGTCCCCCAAGTCTTAATGCATTTCAGCATTAACTCAAAAGTCCACAGTCCATAGTCTCATCTGAGACAAGGTAAGTCCTGTCCAACTATGAGCCTCCAAAATCAAACACAAATTAGTTACTTCAAAGATACAACAGAGTTACAGATACTGAGTAAATACACCCATCCCAAGAGGGAGAATTTGGCCAAAACAAAGGGGCTACAGGCCCCATGCAAGTCTGAAACCCAGCAGGGGAAATCTTAAAGCCCTGGAATAATCTCCTTTGATTCCATGTCTCACATTCAGACCACACTGATACAAGAGGTGAGATCCTAAGGCCTTGAGCATCTCCACCCTGTATCTCTGCAGGGTACAGCCCTCTTGGCTGCTTTCACAGGCTGGCATAGAGTGCCTACAGCTTTTCCAGCTGCATAATGCAAGCTGTCAGTGGATTTGCCATTCTGGGGTCTCACAGCTCCACTTGACAGTGTCCCAGGGAACTCTGTTTGGGAGCTCCAACCTCACATTTCCCCTCCACACTGTCCTAGTAGAGGTTCTCAATGAGGCAGCAGCCTTCTACCTGGACATCCAGGGATTTCTGTACATCCTCTGAAATCTAGCCAGAAGCTCCCAAGCCTCAACTTTTGCCCTCTGTGCACCCACAGGCTTAATGTAGAAGCCGCCAAGACTTACAGCTTGCACCCTCTGTGGAGCAGTGGCCTGAGTTGTATCTGGGGTCCTTTTAGCCGTGCCTGGAGCTGGAATGGCTGGGACACAAGGAGCATTGTCCCAAGATTGTGCAGGGCAGCAGGGCCCTGGGCCTGGCTGCAAAACCATTCTTCCCTCTTAGGCATCCAGGCCTGTGATGGGAGGGGCTACCGCAGAGGCTTCTGAAATGCCTTTGAGGCATGTTTGCCATTGTGTTGGTTATAAACATTGAGCAACTCTTTACTTATGCGAATTTCTGCAGCCAGCTTGAATTTCTCCGCAGAAAGTGGGGTTTTCTTTTCTACCACATGGCTAGGCTGCAAATTTTCTAAACTTTTTATGCTCTTCTTCTCTTTTAAATATAAGTTCCAGTCTCACATCGTCTTTTTGCTCACAAATACAAACCTAGGCTGCTAGAAGCAGCCAGGTGAAGTCTTGAACATTTTACTGCTTAGAAGTTTCTCCCACTCTGTACTGCAAATCACCTCTCTCCAGTTCAAAGTTCCACGTGTCACTAGAGCAGGGGCACAGTTCTGCCAGTCTCTCTGCTAAAGCATAGCAAGAGTGACCTTTGCCTCAGTTCCCAATAAGTTCCTCATCTCCATCTGAGACCTTCTCAGGCTGGACTTCACTGTGTGTGTCACTATAAGCATTTTGGTCACAACAATTAACAAGTCTCTAGGAAATTCCAAACTTTCCCTCATCTTCCTGTCTTCTTGTGAACTCTCCAAGCTGTGCCAGTCTCTGCCTATTGCCAAGTTCCATCACTGCTTACACATTTTCAGGTATCTTTATAACAGTGCCCCACTCCCAGTACCAGTTTTTGGTGTTAGTCTGCTCTCGCACTGCTATAAAAAACTATCTGAGACTGGGGAATTTCTGAAGACAATAGATTTAATTGGCTCAAGGTTCTGTGGGCTGTACAGGAAGCATGGCTGGGGACGCCTCAGGAAACTTTCAATCATGGTGGGAGAATGAAGGGGAAGCAGACATGTCTTACACAGCTGGAGGAGGAAGAGAGTGAAGGGGACAGTGCCGCATACTTTTAACCAACCAGATCTTGTGAGATCTGACTTACACAAGAACATCAAGGGGGAAATCTGCCCCCGTGATCTAATCACATCCCACCAGGTTCCTCCTCCAATATTGGGATTACACTTTGATATTAGATTTGGGTGGGGACACAAATCCAAAACCCAAATCCAAACCAGAACACCTAGTATGTCCAGACTGGAATCATTTTCCTCTAAACTTGCCCTCCTTTTTTCCTCTTTTTTTCCTCTAAACTTGCCCTCCTTTTTTAATTTCCTACCTAAGTTAAAGTTACCATCAGCTACCAAACTTGAGATTTATCCTAAAATCCTTCATCTTTCTCATCCCTTATCAAATGTCCAGGTTCTGCTGTCTCTGAATCTCAAACATTTCTGGTCAAGATCTTAAACTCTTATCTGCCTCTGGCCTGGCTACTCCAGCTTTTTGTATATGAGTAATCTTCATAAAGTACGGCAATTGTGTAAAACTTCCTTCAGTGACTTCCTGTTTGCTCAGATGGAGTTAGTCTTCTTGGAATAATGTAGGAGACCCTTCATAATCCAATCTTGCATAATTTTATCTTCTATAACATTCCCATAAAATCACACAGTTGTTTTTATCTCCCTGAAAGCATCATGCTGTTTCATGCATCCATGACTAAGAATACTTCTTTCCTCATTTTCTGCTCAGTGAATTCCTACTTATTCTTCAAGACTCAGGGATACTTACTTTAGGAAGCCTTTTCGGACTTCTAAGGCAAGTTAGTCACGTGCTCCTCTCTACTCTTATAAAACATTTTAAATAGCTTTATAATAGTACTTATTACATCTCTGCAAATGGGAGCATCTTGATAGTAGAGACCATATCTTATATTTTCCCCAGCACACATTAATACCTGAATACAGTATGTGTATGATACCATCTTCATCATTAAAGTGGCCTACATTGTTTTTTAGTTTCATATTTAAAAAATAAGTATCACTTCCCTTCAATCCATTGTGGAATTACTTTAACCAAGCTGAATTTTAATGTCATATTACAGCTTTTATTGAGAGCTGCTTTATTTATTTTTTTTTTAAAGCCTTGTGATACCTACTTCTATATTGTTATTAAACTTTCTTTAAGGACATCAAGTACAGTAGAGCACAGTCACTGGTAACTTGTTATAGGCATTTGAGACTGCAGTGGGAGTCCTCCATCCCACCTGCAGTACACAGAATTGCATGGAAATGAAGGAACCAGAGTTAAGTTAGGTTAAGTTGCCTTAAAAACTTAAATGGTTATATTATCCAAACAGACCACAGCAAGATTAATAAATAATTTGAATTGTGTTTCTCTACACCCAGAGGTCAGTAGGGTTTTTTTGTTTTGTTTTTTTAAGCCCTCCATCTAGTTGTTTCTAAGAATGTAGATGGAAGGTTTAAAAATATATATATATATATTATTTTAGGTACTGTAATATAATGAAAAGCATTAATTTTTAGAAGTTTCTGTAGCTGGGCATAGTGGTGCACACCTGTAGTCTCAGCTACTTGGGAGGCTGAAATGTGAGGATCATTTAAGCTCAGGAGTTTGAGGTTGTAGTGAGCTATGATGGTGCCACTGCACTCCAGTCTAGGTGCTTGAGTGAGACCTTGTCTCAAAAAAATATCATCCTATATTTGAGAAACATTACACTTTTATCCTTGAAACTTGTTTGATGCTAAACAGCAATGGAGATTTTTGGGGTTTTAGTGTACTGTTGTCCTTACATTTTGCTTTAATATTTTGCAGAATCCGTGCTATCCTTAAGAGGGTTTGTCATTGAGTATCATTTGGGTATTTTGACGTTTTGATGTAACATTGATATAAATATCCCTAAAATTCTTACAAATCAATACAAAATAGTTGGATTCTCCATTGTGTAGGACTAAGTATTTTAGTGTACTATAAAACACACATGCCAAATGATGATGTTACAATAGTAATCAATAAAACAGAAATGATGAGTTAAATTTGTTTGGGTTCATTAGATGTGAAGACATGGTAGATGTGCGAAGGTTAAAGATGCTTCAGATGGTGCAGTTGTTTAAATGTGAAGAAGACGCTGCTCAGGTAAGGACCAGCCAGCTATATTATGTGGTTAGCTTTTCTTAGAAGATTGATTTCATCTAACTACAAACAAAAGTGTACTTTTCATGGTCCTAAAAAGTAAATTCTTGAAGTCAGGTTCTAGTTTATCCTGTTGAAGAATACACTTTAGTATTTCCAGCTAGTTTATTGATCTCATTTAACTTAATCTTCTCAATGAAATCCTCTATTGAGCTAGAGATTGGGATTATTTATTATTGTTGATTAGGTTGTCAGTTACATCCAGGATAAAATCTGGTGGAGCACATTGCATTTTGCTCTCTTGCATCTGCAGGAGAAATTTCAACACCAGATAAACAATTTGATATATTTTGTTGTTATCATTAGAGAACATCATTTCAGTTTGATTTAGAGAAAATTTTTGGTTTTATATAGTAACACAAATCTATAATGCAATCTTGATGGATCTATATACAGAAATACATGATCTTTTATTATGTGATACTAACTTTAAAAGAATGCTTTTCTTTAGTATGTCTTGCCTTCAGATTTAAAAAATTTTGAGGAGTAGGAGAGGTAATTAATTCATGTAGCTTATCATTGAAATAAACTTTTAAGACTTTAGGTTATAATTAACGGATTCATTAATCACATGATAGTAATCACTGTATAAATGACATTTTGATACAGTAAGTAAAGAGTTCTGAATCCAGCTTCATTGTTATGTCTTTTTGTTTAGGCAGTAGAATGGCTAAGTGAACTTCTGGATGCTCTGCTTAAGACTCACATCAGATTGGGCGATGATGCTCAAGAAACAAAAGTTTTGCTGGAAAAGCATAGAAAATTTGTTGATGTTGCACAGGTGCAAAACTGGTTATCTTCCTTTTCCACAAGTTCAGTGTTTGAATAGCTTTCTGCATGATTATAATGTAACTTTACCCTCCAAGTACAAGAAGGTTAGTTTTGTTATTCCAGAAGTATCACAGAATTAAGAAAGTGTCAGCTGGTGCATCAAAACTAGCCTGCATAAACTTGAGAGGGTTTATGTTTCCCTGAATACATGTTCTGCATGGTCCCTCTGATTTATGCTATATATTGTGGCATTTTTTAGGCAATCCAGCTGTTGATTCACAGAAGTTAATATGAAATGGATGTTAATATCAGTAAATAAGAAACCTCACTTTCTGCATCTCACTAGTGTTAGCATAATAATACAGAACTTTTTTGTGGTGAAAAGTATCTTTCTTTTTTTTTTTTTTTTTTTTTTTTTTTTTTTAAGACAGAATCTTCCTCTGTTGCCCAGGCTGGAGTGCAGTGATGTAATCTCAGCTCACTGCAACCTCTGCCTCCCAGGTTCAAGCGATTCTCATGCCTCAAGCCGCCTGAGTAGCTGGGATTACAGGCACCGGCCACCACACCTGGCTAGTTTTTGTATTTTTAGTAGAGATGGGGTTTCACCTTGTTGGCCAGGCTGGTCTTGAACTCCTGACCTCAAGTGATCCACCCACCTCGGCCTCCCAAAGTGCTGGGATTACAGGTGTGAGCTACGGCGCCACGCCAATAAGTATCTTATTTTCCCTGATAATGAGTTCACATTGTAACAGGTGTAGTTTCCTATATGGAATATAAAGTGCCTAATTTCACCTTCTTTTGAAAGTAGTTTTGATTAATTCATAAGCAGACATTCTTTCTGGCCAGTGAAATTTGGCGGATTGTGATGGGGGAAACAGAATGAAGTGGGGAAGCCTAACAGAAAGAGACTTTTTTTCTAATTAAAAATTTTAAAACAATTTATTTTTTTGAGACAAGACCTTGCTCTGTCACCTACGATATAATGTGGTAGCACAATGATAGCTCTCTGCATCCTCCAACTCCCGGGTTCAAGTGATCCTCCTGCCTCAGCCTCCGAGGTAGCTGGGACTATAGGCAAGTGTGGCCAAACTCAACCAATTTTTTTTTTTCATTTTTTTGGGGCAGGATCTTGCTATGTGGGCCAAGCTGGTCTTGAACTGCTAGGTTCAAGCGATCCTCCCACCTCAGCCTCCCAAAGTGCTGGGATTACAGACATGAGCCACTGTGCCTGGCCAAGAAACTTATTATAAACTAACCAAAAATATTGCTTCCCCTTTATTATTTATACACACAGATAATTTGTAGTAATAAGTGCCACTAGATTTATTCAGTATTGATTTCTAGTAGTGTCACTTAATTGTAAGGACAGTCTTCCTGCACACTTTCCTCATCCTTCTCTTAAGAATTCTTTTTTTATAATTTTATGTTTCCTTTTCTTTTTTAGAGCACTTATGACTATGGCAGACAGTTGCTACAGGCCACAGTGGTGTTATGCCAGTCTTTGCGTTGCACTTCTCGGTCATCTGGGGATACGCTTCCTCGATTGAACAGAGTATGGAAACAATTTACAATAGCATCTGAAGAGAGAGTACATAGGTTGGAAATGGCTATTGCATTTCACTCAAATGCTGAAAAGGTTTGCTTTTTTTTTGAAATGTTATTCTCAGTGGTATTTATTATATGTGTTTAAAGTATGTTAATTTTAGTAATGTAATTATATGACTGATCTATTTTTCAGTATTTATATTAGTTCCATTGTTAGTTTGCTTAGATATAATATATTGCCTTAGAGAGTTCAAATTAAATTCTTGATTCTTACCAGTGCTGGACAGCTGTGATTAAAGAAATCTAGAACCACGTGGTAGTCTTCTCTTTACACTTGTCTCCTCACCAAGCCTGGTGTCCAGAATATGCCCTCTGTTCTTTAGAGTATCATGAGTTCATTCTCTTTCGTTATGCCTGGAAGGGAAACTTTTTGCTTTGGCAACTGCTATTAATTGTCACACATTTTCTAAAAGGCACCTTGTGATTTTATAAAGTAGGGACATTAAAAAAATAAGGACAAAAGTAAAATGCTTTTTTATATGGGTTCTTTAAAGATTCATTCTAGAATTTATTATTCAATGAATTAAGGTCATTAATTCCAGAAACAAAAGATAAAATATGCAGGGTTATTTGGACACATTTTCAATAGAACTTTTTTCTTACTCTTTGTAGTAAGAATTTATTGTACCCAAGCCTTACATATCCATTCTGAAAAGGAACTTTATTATGTAGTTAATTTTGTTTTGATCTCTTACAATAAAAGTTTATACGTAGGGAATGTTCAATACACTTTGAGATATTAGCAAACCTAACTCGATCCATAGAACAGATGTTGCAAGGAACCTCAGGAATTAAACAGTTTCTGAGTTATGAAGTACATCTGTTGGGATGTGTCCATAGTTAACTCATTCTCAGCTGGTCATTGAACTCCATAGATCAGTGTTTGATGAACATGGGCCTAATGATAAATGGAAGTATACAAAATGGTGTAACTTGTTTACTGATTGTTTCAATGAGGATTTTTTATTATTAAGTATACTGTTAACATAGAAAACATACAGACCACAAGTATTCTGTGCAGTGAGATTTCACAAAGTGAACACACCTGTGTAATCAGTTTACTGTTCAAAAAAACAGAACATTACCAGCATCCAGAAGCTCCCCTCCGTTCCTGTAGTCACAGTACTGCTCCCCCCACCACCTCACTGTCAAAGAGTGACCATTGGCCCAATGTCTAAAACCACTGATAATTTGTTTTGTTTTTCAAGACGGAGTCTCACTCTGTCACCCAGGCTAGAGTGCAGTGGCACGATCTCGGCTCACTGCAAGCTCAGCCTCCCAGGTTCACGCCATTCTCCTGCCTCAGCCTCCCGAGTAGCTGGGACTACAGGCGCCCACCACCACACCTAGCTAATTTTTTTAATTTTTTAGTAGAGACGGGATTTCACTGTGTTAGCCAGAATGGTCTCCATCTCCTGACCTTGTAATTCACCCGCCTCGGCCTCCCAAAGTGCGGGGATTACAGGCGTGAGCCACCGTGCCTGGCCCACTGATGATTTTTTAGGATACTGCTTTTAACTACCTTTTAATGAGGTCATATAAGAATGAATAGAGTTGAAAGGTTTTTTTGAATAGAAAGTTGTTTCCATTTTTTTTCTGTTACCTAGCCTTTGTCTTGTTTGTAGTAAATTTGATTTAAATTTGATTTACTTAGGTTGTACAAACTTAAGTAAAACCCTTTGTTATCAGATATTACTTTCCTCTTGACTGTATTCTATTTTACACCATTAAGCATAAATATAAATAACCACAACTATAAGCCAATTGTCTAGTATAATGATTAGAAAAATATCTGAATTAAATCTTGAGTTTTAAAATACAAAAATGTCTGTTTATGAGTAATGCTGAAGTAAACATGATTGAATTCCCTAAAGTGTAATGTAAAGAAAAGTTGTAAAAATGAGTACTTCTTTTTCTTCTCTCTCTCTCAAATTTTGCAGTTCTTTCTTGTGGTTTAATTTAAATAGTAATGGTTAGGGTGAAGTGAAGAACAGTATCTCATCAAGGACTATAGAGATTCCCATATTTGAATTATAACCTAATCATTTTACGGCAGTTAACTCAAGCCAGCAGATCACTTGTTAAATATTATCATCGAGCTAAGTTGTCACATCAGTTATATATTTGTACTCTGTTGTTTTTTATTCATATAATTTTTCATTTGTAATGTCTGTGTGCCTTTTGAGAACAGTCTATACCTCCTTCACCTTCCAGGCTGCTAAATAAACATAGAGTAAACTGTTCAATAAATGGCTACTTAATAAATGAAAGAATACTTCTTAAGGACAGGTTGAACTTATTTTCCAAATAGTAGTCTAGCATTTTCTTTCTTGGAAATCACCATATTGTTAGTAGGAATTATGTATTGCATTTTGTTGTTTGAATTTCTTGAAGAATGTTGCCAATAATAGATCAATCTTACATAGTGGTATACCTGAAGATGCTAAGAACAAGAAAATGCCTTATAATCTACCACATTTGTATGAGCTTGATTCCATTTCTGTGTCTCTCTTTTCTCTCTTTTTTTTTTTTTTTGGATCCTCTGAAACTGCAGACCTTTCTGTGTCTCTTAATTGATGTTGCTCTTTTATTTGCTGCAGATTTTGCAGGACTGTCCAGAAGAGCCTGAAGCTATTAATGATGAGGAGCAATTTGATGAAATTGAAGCAGTTGGGAAATCACTTTTGGATAGATTAACTGTTCCTGTAGTTTATCCTGATGGGTATGGGGCATGTTCTTATAATTTTATTTTTTATTGATGTGGTCTTAAAGTGAAATCATTAAAAGAGGAAATCTATTCTTTAAAAAGCCAAATAAATTAGGTTTGGTCCACATCTTTAACTCCTACGATAAATTAGTTTAAAATGAAAAGAAATCCACACCTCTTAGCCACAGTAATGGTACTTGCTGACATCAGATGTGTTGCTTCTTGACAGCTTGTTGTAGAATGATCATTGACTAGATTAAGACACTGGGTTCTAGCCTTGGCTATGATGGTAGGGAACAGTGTGGCTTGGGGCTTCATTCAGGAAAAGGAAGAGGGGACAAGGGACTAATGGTTAGGGAGTTCATAGTATATGCCAAGTACCAAGTGAAACATTTCACCTTCTTTTGACCAAAGAGGACCAAACCAGTATGATTATTCCTGATTTACAAATGAAGAAACTGAGGCCCAGAGAGATTAAGTAAGGCTCTCAGGATTTCACAGCTTCTAAGTGTTAGAGTAAGGATACAATCTCAGGTCTGTCTGTGTGACTCCAAACCTATTCTCTTTGTACCATGTTACATGGCATTCTAATTTCTTTATGTGTGAAGGGATGGGATCCTGATTTTCTTACACCTTTCCATTTCAAATAGTCGGTGATAAAAATATGAAATAATCTGATGCAAAATAAATGGACCAGGAAAAGAATCAGGAGGAACTTCATTCCCGGTGATTTAGATCTGATTCTTAGTGAAAATAATTTAGAGATAATCCAGAGGATATTTAATTCAAATGATAGAGTAAACAAACCATTAAATAAAAATACAAGTATCTTTAACATTGTGGTATAGTGTGATGGAGTGAGTCTGTGTACTCTGGAGCCAGAGGTCTCAGCTCTACCACCTACTCACTATAACACCTTGGGCAAGCCACTTAACCTTTGTGCCTCAATTACCTAATCTAAAAACAGCCATGTAACACTCCTACCTCCTCAGGTTACGGGGGCGTGGGAATTACCTGAGCAAAATAAATATAAAGTACTTAAAACAGATCTGACACATAATAAGCACTGCTACTACTGTGCCATGATCTTCCAGTGATTATTTGGGATTGATATTGAAAAGATGGCATTTTATTCCCTTGAAAGAATATTATTCATAGTCTATACTTATGTTATCTCAAGCCACACCTAAACTTGAACAATTGGAAGTAGGCTAAAGTCACCTGAAGTCACCTACATCTGCAATAAAAGAGAACAAATTTCAGCTAGTAACCTAGTAACAGAATTATAGGTGTGTTTCTGGTTGTTCCATTCCAGGATCCCTTACCCTCCCTGATTCCTACTTTTCACAACCAGTTGTCACACAATCAGCCTCCTGTTCTACCCATGTCAGCCTAGGAACACCTCTCCCTTTTATGCTTGCTTCAGCTTCTTGTCTGTGTTTCACAGATAGTCCATGTGTCATTTCCTCATCCTTTTAAGATAAAAGAATGTTGGTACTGTATATTCAAAGTTCACATCTACCTTTAACATTTTGGAATTGCTATTTTATTCCACTTTATATTCATATTAAAACTTATTTATATCTCTTTTAGGTATTTTGCTAAATTAAATATTTCCCAAAGTTGTGTGTAATGTTTTCCATAATTATTAATATAATGGTAATCTGTTTATGCCATGTATAGTTTGACAGGTTGGACAGATTTGTCTTTTATACCTTCTCCTGGTAAAAGAGATTGATGGTCTCTCTGGATTCACTGCTCGAAGATCTAGGTTCAAATTCTAGTTTTTCCCTGTGTGACTTTGCTTATTACATCATTTAACTTTCTAGGCTCCACTTTTCTGATCTAAAAAATAAAGAAATTAGCGTGATAATTTCTAAGAAATCTTCCAGCTCTAAAAATATTCTGTGACTCTGAATACAGTATCTTTGAGAGTAGAATAAAATTAATGATTTTATCTGTTAATGTACCAATGTCATAACATTATAAAGAATATTTATTTTGCTTGCCAGCTGTATAGACAAGTGGTGTCCCCAGCCAGTAGTACTCAAGTACATGTATAAATTTTGTGTTTGTGTATGCTTCTGGACCCACATATTTCCAGTGTTTCATTGTTCGGTTTGTTGCTATTATCTCATAAGTACACATGATATAACCTTTACACCACCAATATATTTTTCTCATCATGTCTTAATGTATTTTATGCCATTTTAAAAAATGTTTTTCCTGCTGAATTTCCTGCTCACAGATAAACGGTATGATCACAGATAAACTGATATTTACACATAGGCTATCTCATGTAGATTTTTTATGGTAAACTTTTGCTTCTATTTGTATTCACTGCAGTTAATGGATTTGTATTAATCTGAGGTTTTTCTGTGTGTTTGGATTTTTAGAACCGAACAATATTTCGGGAGTCCAAGTGACATGGCTTCTACTGCAGAACACATCAGAGACAGGATGAAACTAGTTAATCTCAAAAGGCAGCAGCTGAGACATCCTGAAATGGTGACCACAGAGAGCTAATAGCTACCAGCTACCTACAGATTTGCAGTTCATAATCCCGCATGTTGTCAACATACTACAGCATTAGCCACCACACTAAGATGCATTTCACAGCCAAAATAAGTCTCATTTCTTTTCATGACACATTTCTCTTTATATGTTAACACCTTGCTATTACCAAGGCATAATTACTTAACATGCTTCGAGGCTGTAGACTCCAAGTATCTTAAAAGAAGGAACTATAAACATTGCACTGAAAACTTGCTTTAAAGCTTTACCTGACCTGTCAGTTTGTAGATAAACAACTGATAATAAGCTTTGAATGGTGCTAATAAGAGTAGGAATTTTCTCTATTAAAAAAAAAAAAAAAGGTTGCCCTTCCTCCACAGGTGATTTAGTAAATTTAGGCAGTAGTTAAACTCTTATTAGTAAATAGTGGTGTCCTCAAAATTTTACTTTGTAATTCTTCAGAATTGATTATTTTTATTGTGTCAATATGGAGAAAACCTTTCAGATCTTTGATATATCATAGTCATTAAAAGACCTTTTCCTATTTGTATTGATAACGTATTAAAAGTTGTTTGTGCTTAATAAAGGACTTCTTTAAACATCTTATTTAATTTAGTAGTTACATCCTATTTCTAAACATGAGTGCCTTATTTAAAAGGGCATTCTTAGGACTGTGAAGATGGTTTAATATTTGTTTTTTCATGGTGGTTGCATGTGTTTTAGACAGGAAATTCATATGTAAGCATGTATATATAATAAATAAGCATGTTTATCATGAAAAATTATTGTGAACAATTTAGATCTTTAAGAACTTATTAATAATGGAATACTATTTCTAATTTTTCTCTTCTTCAACTTGAAAAATATTCTCAAAATTATTAACTACCCTGAAGATACTTTGTCTTTAGGGGAGGAGGGCTGAGGAAGAAGGCATACATAATTACTTCAGTGTAATCCTTTATATCAGAGTAATCTTTCTGGAACTAAAATAGCAATTGTTAATAAAATTTAGTTTCTCATTATAGTCTAAAAGCAAAATAAATTCTTAAGTAGTCCAGTAACAGAACTGTATGACTCCTTTAGAAATAAAATTTATCATGAAATGCTAGTGCTTTTAAGTTTGTATTAAGTTTAAATGGTGAAATGCATATAATTTAAATTTTGCGTATTTTTATTTCAGAAAATTTTTTAAAAGATTAAAAATTATTTTTTAGGCTGGTAGTTGTTACAGAATTACAAACGAGTTGTATACTGGTTCCTTTTTGAGGTCTACAAACATGTTCATGTATCCTCCGATGCAAAAAAAAAAAAAAACAACCCTCCCTCTTAACCTAGATTTTCCAACCTTCTTCACTGATAGACTTCTTGGAGAAATCCACATCCAATGCCCCTACATCCTCATCACTCACTACTCGGCACCTTGTAGTCTGGTTTTACATAGTACTCTACTGAAACTTCTTTTGAAAGTCAACAGTGGCCTCCAGTTACCAAACTGAATGGTTTTTTCTCTGTCTGAATCCCTTACCCTTTTCTCTCTGCAACATTTACATCATTGAGCAACCTTTCCTAGACAGTGTCTCCTTCCTTGAAGATGCTATCCTCTGAAATAACTGTGAGTACAGTCGCATAACCCTAATTTAAGATGTGCCTGCTGAACATGTGCTCTCTCAGATCCTGTCCTCAGAATGCTTTTGGCTCTTCTCTAGGTATCTCATCCTTATGGTTTTAATTTTATACCAGTGTTCTGGATTATATATCTGGTCCAGAAATCTAGACCTGTACTTCTTTTTAATTGCCTACTTGACATTTCAACCTTGATTAAAGATTTACAATATTTATCACCTTTTCCTTCTGGAACAATTTAGGTTAATGGTGCAGCCTTTTTTCCTAGTCAAACATGCCAGGAAATTCAGGGCAAAGTTCAACTGCTCCCTCTTGTCTTATGTGGTCACTGCTTCTGAGAACATCCAGGAAGTTCTTTCTATACTTGATAATCTTCTCAGTCCTTTGGGGCTTTACTGCTATGAGTATGAACTTTTGTGATTATTTATTTCAGTCTTCATGATGGTGCTAGTCACATTCTACAGTTGTTTATGTCCGTACCCACTAAGCTCTTTTGAGGGAAGGAATCTTGTCTTCTCCCATTCCCAGTCTTGCTCATGCATAACAGATGCCCAGTCCTCCTAAATATGAATGGTGTATTATAGGCATTAGTAATAATCCCTGTTATATTGCAGTCTGAAGTATGTTTTAAATATACTTATTTTTTAAAGTTAGAACTGACTTACAAGTGAATCTATTCTTAGATTCTTAGATACTACTTTAGATATTTAGTTATACTCAATAACTGAATATCAATACTCAATATCTGTTTCTTCTACTGAATTTCAGAGTAGTTAGAATGTTTTTCTTAAGACTTTGCTAGAAAGGAACTGGTTTGTTAGTAATTCCACCATCAACTCATAGAGTTACAATTGCCAAATGAGTTAATTTTTATATAACTTAAGCTATCCTACCTACAAAAAGTAAAATAAGGCCGGATTCATAAATGTTATTTGTAAATGGAGTGTTTCACATGAGGTCAAGTCTGATTTTAACATATTGAATGTCGTTGCTCCTCATCTGTAAATTTGCTGCTGCTTTCATATGTGTATCTGTACATACACAGAGTTATGAATGAAAATCCAACAATGCCCTAAAGTGACTTTTTTCCATAGGGTCATAGCTCACTTAAAGTGAACATGTGAAAAAAGTGACTGCAATATGTTTGAAACCACAAGCTGTTTCTTTTGCTTTCTTTTTTTTTTTTTTTGAGACGGAGTCTCGCTCTGTCACCCAGGCTGGAGTGCAGTGGTGCGATCTCCGCTCAGCCCCATGCAAGCCCCGCCTCCCAGGTTCACACCATTCTCCTGCCTCAACCTCCCAAGTAGCTGGGACTACAGGTGTGCACCACCATGCCCGGCTAATTTTTTGTATTTTTAGTAGAGACGGGTTTCACTGTGTTAGCCAGGATGGTCTCGATTTCCTGACCTCGTGATCTGCCCGCCTCGGCCTCCCAAAGTGCTGGGATTCCAGGCGTGAGCCACCGCGCCCGGCCTCCACAAGCTGTTTCTATGTCATAAATTAATATCAGCTTGCAAATCTCCGTAAGAACCACTCATTTCTAATTGGTATATGTCACAACCTCCCACATTCCTTTAGCCCATCTCAGGGAATTATTGAAATGCTGGCAGGATTAGTTTTATTTTGTTTGGTTTTTTGGGTTTTTTTTTTTTGTTTGAGGATTTTTTTTTCTTTCATCTTATCATTTGTTTGCTCCTGTGTAAACTTAATATTTAATGGCATTTTGGCATCTGTTCTTCACACATGTCTATCCCAGCAGAGTTATGATGCAAAAATGATAACTTCATTTTAGGTCAGATTGGCTTTGTTCCCAGTCCTCATTGTTGGTGACTTTGTTCTGTTCTGGTGACTCATTGGTGATGTTGATGAAACTGCTCAGCCTGCCAGCTGGGATATTGATGGCAGGTGTAGGCTTCATTGCTAGGTAGAAGATTGAATACTTCTCACTTTATAGAAATTTACATTGGCTATTGCTCCCATGTGTTAGCTAGTCTTAACGTGTTTGTTATTTCATTATCTTATTAGCTGACATATGGAGTGGTATTATTATTAGTGTCATACTCCTTAGTATGAGCATGACAATTAAGTTACCTTACTGATAGTGATGAGTAAACCATACTCCCTGATCTAAACCCATTGTTACCAATTATGTGATTATGAAGTTAGCTGAATCTGTCTCACTATGTGGTCTACATTCGAAGAAATAGTCAGAATTCTCTACTATATTGTAAGTTACTTGTCAGTAGAGATTGGGCGTTTTTATGTACTCCTCCCCTTCTCACATCCTACCCAAAATACACAAGGCCATAGTAAAATACTGTTGCTACTAAAAACTAAACATACTGTGGCTGCTAATGTCCTTTACATCTTCAGTACAGGCAGAAACAAGCACCATTAAGTATATTATCAGTAGTGAGATCTGTATGATTAGGATATCTTTTCTTAAGCCCCCAAAGGAAAAATTCTCTAGCATTAAAAACATGGCTGGAACATAACTAAGCAGTTAACCTAATTAGTAGACTTCTTGTTAACTTTCAATCCTAAAAATGAAAAGCTTCAGTTGGGAGTAGAAAATATACTATGCTGGTATATAGAGCAACAAATACCCTGATGAGATGAAGTAGAAACTTACCATTTGACATTATTTGACTTTCATTCATGCTACTGAAAAGTCTAGGTTTAGCTAAGAAGCATAAATAATGGCAATACTTGTAGAGGAAAGACCATACCAGCTAAAACAAGAACTGTAATGAATATAATGGAAAGTGTTTGGAGCTTGAATACTTGGCTTCAAAAATCTGGCTTTGCTATTTACTGTGACCTTGGTTAAAAAAAAAATCTGAGAATTTCTCTGGGACTGTAAAATAGAGAAGTCATACCAATTTCGAGGATAAAATATATAAAGAAGTGTTGAAACCAAAATATCCAGAAATAAACAGAATGGAAAGTATCATTGCTATAATTATCTTTTCAGAATAGAAAATAGAGTATTCTTTTTTCTTTCTGTTGTCTCACATGACAAGCATGGGATGGTGAGGAAATGGCACTTTGCTTATGTTCGCTGCCCCCCCGCCCCATTAGCTCCACCACCCCTTCACCCTCACCTCCAGTTCACTAGTGTGTCAGAATGTACGTTCAGAATTAACACACTGAAGATACAAAAGGTACAGTTGGTAAGCTCATCAGTAAATAATAAGGCTTTGAAATCTGACAAATTAGCTGTTTTTATAGGAAGATAATAGACCAGCAAGATGGAAGACAAGTGGTGAGTATCATGTTTTGAGGTTGACAGGGTGTGATGTAACCCCATTAATAGACACATGTAAAAGCACGTCATACTAGGAGTTAGTATTAGTGAGCAAGCACCAACCAGTAGAAACAACAAGAGCATAAATCTGTTATTTATGAAGTATCCCAATAATGAGGTTAAAAAAAAAAACCCAACAACAAAACATGACAAGACCACAATTAGTGCTGGTTATGCTTAAGAGCAGTCTCTTGGTAAACTCAGGCAGTGATGAACAGAAATGGCCAACTGATACTATAATAGAGGCACAGAACTAAGGACACTCCATGAGCTGGCATAAATACAGGGGAGTCTAAGACTGAAAAACATTCGTGGGTATGACACTTAATATGACTCAACATTACTGCAGAATTTTAAAGCAAACATGAAAGCTTGAGAATAAACACTCGTTCCTGTACTTCAAGAAAAAGCAGAACCTGTACTAGAACATGAAGAACTTAGAGATCAAAAGACAGAACTATGATGAAATATTTTGAAAGCAGTGGGCACATTTTTTAAAGATTTTTTTTTAGAACTTTATGAGGCTATATATAATTCCTATATATAATTTTATAGGAATTCTTAACTGAAAATAGTTATCAACTGCTAGTTATCAGGAACAGTGTTATTAGGGATTTTAAGTTAGGCATGTAGAAAACTTTCTGACAAAAGGGCTATTGAACTCAAGCCAGTTTCCAGTGAATCTCCAGGAGGCACCTTAGAAGTCTTTACGAGCTGAATATCATGTCTAGAGGGTCCAAATGCATCTCTCTTGGGGGAAAAATGAGAGATGACTGGATGCCTTTCCACTCAGAACACAGTAGCTCACTCATTATTTATGACCAAGCCTCATGTCTTTTCTATTACAGTTACAGATTCTTTTTTAGTCTGGAAAAATAAAATTTCTGTGTTTGGTTTTTCTCTTAGGAATGTTTTCTCATCTGAACTCTTATCTTTATGGCCAACAAATTTGCTCAGAACATATCAAAATATATCTATTAGATTTTGTAAAGGTGTGAGAGGATCGAAATACCACTTTGACAATTACAAACCAGAGTAGATTTGAGTACTGATTGCTCACATCACACTTAGAAGTAGTCTCAGAAGCCTTTAAGAGAAACTTACTTATCAATGGACACTTAGAAGAATTTGATGATTATACTGTCCTAACATCAATAATGAAATTCTCAGCAGCATTATTTGGTAAACATTGCACCCTATATGTTTACCCAACATTTTGTTATGAAAATTATCAGGTACACTAAAAAGTTAAAATGTATAGTGTACTCACTAGATACTAATTAGCATTACCTGTGCTTGCTTTGTCATATCCATCAGTTCATATTATTTGATGCATTTTAAACTGCATATCATTAACTAGAGTTCATTGTTGGCTTTTTTTACATAAGATTAGCATACAATGAAGTGCATAGAACATACATGTTCACTGAGGTTTGGCAAATGCATATACTGCCATGGAAATAGGAAACAATATCACCACCCTAGAAAGTTTCCACATGGCCCTTTCCAGTCAATTCCTGTCCCTACTTGACCCTCAAAGGCAACCACTGTTCCTTTTCCTACCATAAGATTTTCTGTTGTAAAAGTTTATATAAATTTATATGTAGATTCACACAACATGTATACTTTTCTACAAGGCTTCATTTTTTTATTGCTGTTCTTTTTTATTGCTGAGTAGTATTCCACTGTATGACAATATTACAGTTTATTTAATTTCCTATTATTGATAGATACCTGGACTGTTTCCAGAATTGGCCATTATAAATAAAGCTGCTATGACCATTCTTATATAAGTCTTTGTGAACATAGGTTTTCATTTCTTTGCAGTCAATTCCTTGGATTAGAATTGCTGGGTCACAGGGTAGTTTTAAAAGAAACTGTCATACCTTTTTCCAGTTCAGTTTTTATTGTGCCCTGTATTTTGTATTTTGATGTGCATAAAGGTGTAAACTATTTTTATGATCCATATTGAATATTAGAAGAAGCGAGTTTGGAATAACAATAGCATTATACATTGTCGAGAATGGCAGTTGGAGCTATTTGAGGAAAGCAAAGACCTGTCTGCCCCAAACAGCTCCTCAAGGAGTTCCTATGCCTGAAACTTTAGCAATATTTCACTCCTTGAAAGGTTAAAGCCCAACCATGGTGATATGTTAGCTAGAAGAAACAGCACTTGTTTTGTTGATGTTACTAACTTTCACCACCCGTTTTCAGTAGGTAAAGTAAAACTGATCATTGAACAGAAAAGGTTATTTTGTGATGAGGTTGAGGGAGTAGTGGAAAGCATGTATTGCTAGTAAGTCCCAGGTACAGCAATGTGAGAGAGAGTCACCTGGGCAGGGAAGTCCCGCAAATGGTGGTCAGAAGAGCAGAAAACGGGGTGGGAAAAATTCTACCTCACAGTTTTGCATAGGGGATAGCTATGCTCTTACGGCACATTTTAGCCTTTAAAAATATTTTCAATATTGTCTCTTTATTCAGTACCACCCAGCTGTAGTTTTTTCACACTCTGATGACTTTCTTATCCACTCTGTTTTACCTCTCCCAGCTGTTCTATTACACACAGCATTCACCTGTATTAGCCTATAAAATTATAATCATCTGTGTGTTTCTAATGCTCATTTTCAAAAATATGTATGGTTTATTCGATTTTTCCTGTTAAAATTTTAAGGGCTGGGAAATTTGGCTTCTACTGTAAATCCTTATAATGTTCCATATATTGTAAATATGCAATAAAAATGTTAAAACCTATAATGGCAGCAGGTTTTGGTATGTATTTCTTTGATATATTGTCACTTTGGGCAATAAGTTTGATTTCTATTAATAAAAATTGTTCATAAAATCTAGGGAGAATTAAGTCACACTGGTATCTATAAGATAATCTGGTGAATTCTGCATCTTTGAATCAATTTGAATTATTTTTTTGTAAAGGTTTAAATTTCTTCTAACAATGTTACCTAAAACCTTTTATTAAATCAAAAATGTAACTTGTACATTCTGAAATAACCTGGAGTCTTAGAAGACAGAAGCTTCTCCTTCCCTCTCCCATGACCCCAACGCCCCCTTCCCACAAGCTTGGCACAGAAGTTCAGTGCTTTCTCTAGATCTTGTGGTGGTGTCAGAAATAGGTTCTCACCATAATAGACAGTGGTTAAATTTCCTTTGTTCCTACTGAGAAGTCTATTTTTAAGGCATAAAAGATGAATGTGTATTTGGGGATGGAGGAGGCATATTAGAACAAAGCAATATTTAAAGTAAAATCATATGCTATAAACAATAGCAGTTCCAGAATGACTACTAGGGATTTCAGATTGCCAGAGTTTGGAAATTGGCAAGCCCTTATACCTTGTCCAATGAAATTAACTACATTTGAGTGACAGTTCAACATACGAGCAAAAAAAAAATATAGAAGAACAATGTACATTTGTTATTAATAGGTATGTTTACACGTTAGAGTATCCACCCATCTCTAGGTTTTCCATTAGATGCTTCATGTATCCACAAACCTGTTTCAAACCATTGAAGTGATCTTACCATTGTGTTTGGTCAAAATAAAATTGGGAGAAAATGTGAATGAGTAAATAGCAACGCTTGACATTCCTGTCTTTTTAATACATTTTATTCTTGTGTTTAGAACTTTTTCAGAATAGGAGTATCAGCTCCACTAATTGTATACATATACACAAATACTAACAGTTGTGTCCATCTGGGAGTCCTGTATTGATGGCAGTATCAGGCTTTCCTAGAATCTTCTGTTAGAACTGTTAGAACTGGGAACATACTTTCCCATAAAAAAATGATTAAAATGCAATTAGTCTTTTTCAACTACATTATGAGTTAAGCAAGCTACTTTAAGGTGACCTACAAATCTAGCATTAATAATACTACTGTATAAGTTGTTAACAACTGACCTACCAATATATTTTTAGGGTATGTCCCATTCATTAGTTGGAAGCCGCTCTTGTTCTAAGAAAATGTTTAGAACTCAGACCATAAAGATAGTACTGGTACTTAGGACATGAACATAGATTAAGTTTTAAAGGAGGACTATAGTTGCATTGTAGACATGTAGTTAGAACTAGAATATGTGGTCTACACCAATGGTTATCAAACATGAATGTGCCTACAAATCAACTGGAGATGTTATTAAAATGCAGTTTCTGATTCAGTAAATCTAGGGTAGGACCAAAGGTTTTGCATTTTCAATGTTTCTAGCTGCTGCTGATGCTGCCAGTCTGCAGACCACACTTCTGACTGCAAGATTCTAGAATACCTTTTATAAAAACCTCAGTATATAAACTTTTCAGAGGCAACATCTGATCATCCTGCAAATTACCTACTTTCTCTAATTTGAGTAGAAGACTACAGAGATGGCATTTTGGGAATTATATACTTATAGGGACTAGAGAAACCAAATGTATTTATGAAGTTAACACATTCTGAAAGATTAGCACATCCAATCTATGGTAAAAATTATTAGCAAATTCAAAACAGTGAAGCCTGAACTGTCATTTTCCAGTATCTCATCACTGAGGGAAGGTTGTTTTCAAAACTGGAAATAACTAATTCCTTTATGCTTTATTCTTTAAAATTCCATTTAAGAGTAATGTGTAGTTACTATTTTTTACAGTACTCTAGTAAATAGAGAAAAATATTTTTTTAAAAACTGCCTATAATTTATCAATACTGAGAACATACAGTTAATATTTGATATATTTTCTTTGTATTTAACCTAACAAGATTATGCTAGCATTCAACTTTATTTCCTGCTTTTTACAGCTATATCATTAAAATGTTATTAAACTTTTTTCCCAGTTTAAGTCAATAGCTGTGTAATATTCAATAATATGTAAATACCATGATTTAACTATTACACTCTTAGGTAAAACATTTAGTTTCTTTCTTTCTCTTTCTTTCTTAATGGTACTATAAGTAATGCTGCAATGAACATCCTTGCTCTTAACTTTTTGACAGCATCTCTCCTTGGGACTGATTCCTGAAAGTAGAAATCTTGGATTGGAATGTATCCATATTTTGAGGCTTTTAATAGATATGGCCAAATTGCTTTCCAGAAGATTAGGTAGATGTATGTGTCTGTTAACAGTTACACATACATCGTGTATATGGCACTGTTTCCTGTCTCGTGGCACTGTTTCCAGCATGAAGTGTTGTTCTTCTTAAAGTCTTTACAAATCTTTGAGAAATTCAGTTCACTGTACATTTCTTTAACCACCAGTGAGGCTAAAACAAATTTAGTGATTTATTATTATCCATTGTGTTTCCCTTCTGGTGACTTGTCTGTTACTGTTTTTGCATACTTTTCCTTTGGAGTTAGCATTTTTTCTTATTTGTTTGAAGAGGTTTTTGTTTTTTTGTTTTTTTAAATAGGGCTAATAATCCATCATATTTGAACAAGTATTTTTCCTAGTTTGCTATTTATTCTGTCTTTATGAAGTTTGGTGATGTTATCGTGCTCATATTTATGGTGAAATTTATTAACAGATTGTCTTCTTGATATTTTCTTTTCTTTTTTCTTTTTTTTTTTTTTGAGACAGAGTCTGGCTCTGTCGCCCAGGCTGGAGTGCAATGGCGTGATCTCAGCTCACTGCAAGCTCCGCCTCCCGGGTTTACGCCATTCTCCTGCCTCAGCCTCCGGAGTAGCTGGGACTACAGGCGCCCACCACCACGCCCGGCTAGTTTTTTTTTTTGTATTTTTTTAGTAGAGACGGGGTTTCACCGTGTTAGCCAGGATGGTCTCGATCTCCTGACCTCGTGATCCGCCCGTCTTGGCCTCCCAAAGTGCTGGGATTACAGGCTTGAGCCACCGCGCCCAGCCTTGATATTTTCATATTGCCTTAATGACTAGAAAATCTTTCCTCAGCTTAAATTTTGTTTCTCCTGTGCAGTTTTTTATTACTCTAAACTCCTACATTCATAAAAAATGTTGGTGCCTTGTGTGAGGTAGTAATATGGTACATTTTTCCACATATCAAATGTTCTCAACATAACTTATTGGATAATCTATCCCTCCTATTGATTTCTGATACTCCTTTGAAAATATATAGAGTTGAGTTCTTAAGTCTTCTGGGGCTACTTCTGGGCTAGCTATTCTGTCCTGTTGATCAGTGTGTTTATAATTTTGCCTATACCACACTGCTTTTAGTATTGCTTTAAAAATAAGACAAACAAAAAATAAACAGTTCTTTTTTGTAGCATTGCAGAGAAACAGCTTTTCCTACTGAAAGAATTTTTTTTTTTTTTTTTTTTTTGGTAGCATGGTGAGTATAGATGCCAGCAAATTTATGTGAGTGAAGAAAAAGTTTATATGCTTAGAGGTATTTTAGTCAAAACAAGAAAGGAAGTGAAGAAGTAGTAGCTGTGTAGCAGAGAGAGAACAACCTGTGCAGAATGCAGAGAGGAAAAAGTACAACAGAAAAGATCAAACAGCAAGAGAACAGCACAAAATAGAAGGGAAGCAAAAAAATTGGAGAAACAACTGAAGATTTCTGAAAAGAATGGAATAGTAATGATTATAGTATTACATTTACTGAGTATGTTTACAGACATATAAGTGTATTTACAGTAGTGTATTTGAATATAACATGCAAAAACACACAATAAGGCCTGACCCATGAGATCAACAAAGACATACAAAACCAGAATGATGTATCAACATTAATGACAAGAAATAGACCGAGACAGAAACCCAGGTGCTCACACTAACAAAGTGCAACAGATTCTGTTGTAGTTGGATTGATGGTCGAAAAAATTCACAAGTACAAGGCTCACATGACCTATCCTGAAATTAGTAATACATGTTTAATTTTTCAGTTTGGTAAAATCATTTATCATTGTTCCAATAGTTACTCAAAATCAGATTTACTTTAGACACCGTGACACAGAAAACAGAATACAGGCTTTGGGGTTTCATGCTTTAGAGCCAGTGGTTCAGAATTCTGTTTTTGGTGTTAGGTTGGCATGGGTTAAGCCATATTAACCTTGTGATTTTGGATGTTATTTAACGTTTCTAGGTCAGTGTCCTCAATAAAATGGCATTAATACAGAAAATACTTCAGTGTTTCTCTAGTAATTAAGTGACATTATGTAAAATAAATCTTCAGCAGGGTATCTGGCACATGATCAGTGCCCTATATTGATATTATTTTCTCTGAGCTTCCTAGACAACAAGCTCCTGAGGGCAGGGATCGCATTTGTCTTCTTGCCTGATGTTTTTTTGGTGCTTAAGTCAATATCTGGTACATCAAAAGTGCTCAGCAAGTATTTGTTGAAAAAGAAAATGATAATTTGCATGGCATTTAAAATGTGAGGCAGGTGGAGTGGGTAGAGCAAGACGGTGGAATAGAAGTCATCACCAATTGTTCCCCCTCAAGCCCCCTGCAAGAACATTGATTTTAAAACTATCTACACACGCACACACAAAGCACCTTCATAAGAACCAAAAATCAGATAAGCACTCACAGTAAGTACCTGCTTTTAACTTCATATCGCTAAAAAAGGCAATGAAGAGGTAGAATGCACAGTCTTGGATTACTGACACCACCTCCTCCTCCATCCCCTGAAAGTGGCGGTAAGATGAAGAGAACCTTGTGCCTTCTGTGCCCTGGGAAGAAGGAAAGCACAGCAATTGTGAGGTATTGAACTCAGTGCTGCTGCGTTATAGCAGAAAGCAAAACCAGACCCAACTCAGCTGATGCTCACCCGAGTGTGCATTTAAACCAGTCCTAGCCAGAGGGGAGTCGCAGATCCCAGAGGTTGGAACTTGAGTTCCTGCAAACCTCATCATTGTAAGCTAAAGGGCTTTGGGGTCCCATATGAACTTGAAAGGCTGTCTAGGCCACAAGGACTGCAAAATATAAATGAGTCCTAGGTTTAAACTGGGCCCAGAGCCAGTGGCGTGGGGGGACATGGGACATACTGAGACACCAGCTGGGCTGACTAAGGGAGTGCTAGCATCACCCCTTCCCTAACTCCAGGCAACGCCAAAAGAGAACCCCTTCTTCCACTTGAAAAGAGAAGATGGAAGAGTGGGGCAGGTTTTGTATTGCATCTTAAATACCAGCTCAGCCACAGGAGGATAGGGCACCAAAGTCATAAGAACCCTATTCCAGGCCCTACCTCCTGGACATTTCTAGACACACCCTGGACCAGAAGGGAACCACTCACTGCCTTGAAGGGAAGGACCCAGTACTGGCAGGTTTATTACCCGGTAACTGAATAGCCCTCGAGCCCTGAATAACCAGCAGCAATACCCAGGTACTAAGTCAAGGGCCTTGGGTGAGACAGAGACTTACCAGCCACAAATGAGTCTCAGCATATTCCTAACTGTGGTGTCTAAAGGGTGAGGCTCCTGATTGAGAAAGCAGAGGGAAAAGTAAAGGGGACTTTGTCTTGCACCTTAGATACCAGCTCAGCCATAGCAGGTTAGAGCACCAAACAGGCTCTTGGGGCCCCCAATTCTAGGACTTAGGTCTTGGATGGCATTTCTGGACCTGCCCTGGGCCAGAGGAGAGCCCATTGCTCTGAAAGGTGAGTCCCGGGCCAGGCAGCACTCACAAGCTGACTGAAGAGCCCTTGGGCCTTAGGAGAACACCAGTGGTAGTCTGGCACTACTCCCCATGGGCCTGTTCCTCAACACACAGATCATTCTCAAGCATAGACCATATGTTAGGTCACGTAACAAGCCTTAAAATATCCTCCCAAAATTAAAATAATATCAAGCATCTTCTCTGACCAAAATGGAATAGGTGGCAATGGCCACCAGGTGAGGCTCCTCTGCCTTTGGAAAGGGGAGGGAAGAATGAGAAGGAAAGCCTCTTGTGGTCTGAGTGTCAGCTCAGCTATAGTACAATAAAATACCAGGTGGACTTCTAAGGTTTTTGACTCTAGACTTGGCTCCTGGATGGCATCTCTGGACCCACCTGGGAGTCTGGGGGAACTCACCACCCTCAATGAAAGAACAGCATAGGTGTGACTGGCCTTGGCACCTGCTGATTATAGAGCCCCAGGGCTTTGGGCAAACATAGGCGGTAGCCAGGAAGTGGTTACAGAAGACTTTGCGTAATGCCCAGTGCTGTGCTGGCTTCAGGTCTGAACTAGCAGAATCCTAGGGGTGGTGGCCACCAGGGTGCTTGTGTCACTCCACACCCCAGCTTCAGGTGGCTCAGGGCAGAAAGAGACTCTATTTGTTTCGGAGAAAGTAAGGGAAGAGAACAAGAGTCTCTGCCTGGTAATCCAGAGAATTATTTATCTTGGCCAAGACCATCAAGGTGGTAACTCTATGAGTCTGCAAGAACCACAGCACTGCTGGGTTTGGGGTCTGCCCTAAAGCGGATACAGATCAGAACACCCAAGCCTTTTAAAATACCTGGAAAACCTTCCCAAAAACGATAGTGCAAACAAGCCCCGACTGAGAAGACTACAAAAAACAAAACAAAACAAAAAAAGTAACTTTTCAATGCCCAGACACAGATGTACATCTACAAGTATCAAGATGACCCAGGAAAACATGACCTCACCAAATGAACTAAATAATGCACCAGGGGCCAATCCTGGAGAAACAGAGATATGTGACATTTTAGATGTTGAAGTCAAAATAGCTGTTTTGAGGAAACTCACATAAAGACAACACAGAGAATTCAGAATTCTATCAGATAAAGGAACAAAGAGATGGAAATAATTTAAAAGAATCAAGGAGAAATTCTGGAGCTGGCAAATGCATTTGGCATAGTGAAGAATGCATCATAGTCTTTTAACAGCAAAATTGATCAAGCAGAAGAAAGAATGAGTGAGCTTGAACACAGGCAATTTGAAAATACACAGTCAGGGGAGACAAAATAAAAAATAATACAAACCAATGAAACACACATATTTTAGAAAACAGCTTCAAAGGGGGAAATCTAAGAGTTATTGGCCTTAAAGAAGAAGTAGAATGTCTATTCAAAGGGATAACTACAGAGAACTTTACAAACCTAGAGAAAGACATCAATATCCAAGTACAAGAAAGTTATAGAACACTAAACAGATTTGACCCAAAGTAGATTACCTCAAGGTATTTAATAAACAAACTCCCAAAGATAGAGGATAAAGAAAGGATACTAAAAGCCACAAGAGAAAAGAAACAAATTGCTCCAATACATCTGGCAGCAGACTTTTCAGTAGAAACCTTATAAGCCAGGAGAGAGTAGCATGACATATATAAATTGCTGAAGGAAAATATTTTTAAACCTAGAATAGTACATCAGGTGAAATAATCTTTCAAACATGAAGGAGAAATAAAGACTTTCCCAGACCAAAAAAAAAAAAAAAAAAAAAAAGGAGAGATTTTTATCATCACTGGAGCTGTCCTATAAGAAATGCTAAAGGGAGTTTTATAATCATAAAGAAAAGGACAAAAAGGAGCAAGAAGAAATAATCTGAAGGTACAAAACTCAGTGGTAATAGGAAGTACAAAGAAAAGCAAAGAATAATATAACTGTGGTGTGTAAACTGCTATTAAGTAGAAAGACTAAACAATGAACCAATGAAAAAATAGTAACAACTAATTTTTACAATGTAGACAGTACAATAAGATACAAATAGTAACAACAAAAAATTAAAAAGCAAGGGGATTATTAAGGTATACAGTCTTAATTAGTTTTCTTTTTGATTGCTTGCATGTTTGTTTGTTTATGCAAACAGTGTTGTTATCAGGTGATCTCAAACCAAAAATCATACAATGTATACAGAAAAAATAAGCAAGAAATTAAATCATATAACCAGAGAAAATTATCTTCACTAAAAGGAGGACAGGAAGGAAAGAAGGAAGACAAGACCACAAAGCAACCAGAAAACAAACAAAATAGTAGAAGTACATCGTTATTTATCAACAATAACATTGAATGTAAGTGGACTAAACTCTCCAATAAAAAGACAGAGTTTTGGATACAAAAAGCCAAAAAACATGACCTATTAATCTGTTTTCTACAAGAAACATATTTCAACTATAAAGACACACATAAACTGAAGATAAACGGATAGAAAAAGATATTCCATGCCAATGGAAACCAATAAAGAACAGTAGTAGCTATAATTATATCAGACAAAATAGATTTCAAAACAAAAACTGTAAGAAAAGACAAAGAAGGTCACTATATAATGATAAATGGGTCAGTTCAGCAAGAGGATATAACAATTTTAAATATACATGGGCCCAACCCTGAAACACTCAGATATACAAAGCAAATATTATTGAGCTAAAGAGAAAGACTCCAATACAATAATAGCTGGAGACTTCAACACCCCACTTTCAGCATTGGACAGGTATTCCAAATAGAAAATCAACAAAGAAACATCAGACTTAAAATGCACTATAGACCAAATGAATCTGATAGATATTTATAGAACATTTCATCTAATGACTATAGAGTACATATCCTTTTCCTCAGCACATGGATCATTCTCAAGGATAGACCATATATTAGGTCACATAACAAGCCTTAAAATATCCCCCCCAAATTAAAATAATATCAAGCATTTTCTCTGACCACAATGGAATAAAACTACAAATCAATCATAAGAGGGATTTTGGAAACTATACAAATACATGGAAATTAAACAATATGCTCCTGAATGACCAGTGGGTCAAGGAAGAAATTAAGAAAGAAATTGAAAATTTTTTTGAAACAAATGATAATGAAACACAATATGCCAAAACTTATGGGATACAGCAAAAGCACTTCTAAGAAGGAAGTTTATAGCTATAAGTGCCTACATCAAAAAAATAACAAAAAGTTCAAATAAAAAACCTAACATAGGATTTTAAAGAACTAGAAAAGCAAGAGCAAATTAAACCCAAAATTAGTAGAAGAAAAGAAATAAAGGTCAGAGCATAAATAAATAAATTTGAAATTAAGAAAATAACAAAAGATGAATGAAATATAAAGTTGATTTTTTGAAAAGTTAAACAAAATTGACAAACCTCTAGTCAGACTAAAAAAAAAAAAAAAAAAAAAAAGAGAGAGAAGATCCAAATAAATAACATCAGAGATGAAAAAGGAGACATTACAACTGATACTGCAGAAATTCAAAGGGTCATTAGTGGCTACAAGGAGCAACTACATGCCAATAAATGGGAAAATCTATAAGAAATAGACAAATTCCCAGACACATGCAAACTACCAAGGTTGAACCATAAGAAAATTTAAAACCTAAACAGACCTCTGACAAGTAATGAGATTGAAGTCGTAATAAAAAGTCTCCCAGTAAAGAAAACCCTGGGTCCTGATGACTTAACTACTGAATTTTACCAAATATTTAAAGAATAACTAATATCAATTCTACTCAAACTATTCTGAAAAACAGAGTAGGAGGGAATACTTTGAAACTTATTCTACAAGGCCAGTATTACACTGACACCAAAACCAGACAAAGACACATCAAAAAAGGAGAAAACTACAGGCCAATATCTCTAATGAATATTGATACAAAAACTTCAACAAGATACTAACAAACCAAATTCAACAGTACATTTAAAAGATTATTCATTGGCCAGGCACAGTGGCTCACACCCGTAATCCCAGCACTTTGGGAGGCCGAGGTGGGAGGATCATGAGGTTAGGAGATGGAGACCATCCTGGCTAACATGGTGAAATCCCGTCTCTGCTAAAAATACAAAAAATTAGGCGGGCGTGGTGGCGGGTGCCTGTCATCCCAGCTACTTGGGAAGCTGAGGCAGGAGAATGGTGTGAACCCAGGAGGTGGAGTTGCAGTGAGCCGACATCGTGCTTCTGTACTCCAGCCAGGGTGACAGAGCAACACTCCATCTCAAAAACAAACAAAACAAAACAAAAAAATTATTCATCAAGACCAAGTGGTATTTATTGCTAGTTTGCAAGAATGGTTCAACATATGCAAATCAACCAATGTGATACATTATATCAACAGAATGAAGGACTATAACCATACGATCATTTCAATTGATGCTGGAAAAGCATGTGATAAAATTTAGCATCCTTTCATGATAACAACTCTCAGAAAACTGGATACAGAAGGAACATACCTCAACATAATAAAAGTCATACATGGCAGACCCACAGGTAGTATCATACTGAAGGGGTAAAAATTTGAAAGCCTTTCCTCTAATATCTGGAACACGACAAGGATGGCTTTCACTGCTGTTATTCAACATAGTACTGAAAGTCCTAGCTGGAGCAATAAGGTAAGAGAAAGATATAAAGGCCATCCAAATTAGAAACAAAGAAGTCAGATTTGCAAATGATATATTATATTTAGAAAAACCTAAAGACTCCACAAAAAATCTATTAAAACTGATAAAAAAAAATTTAGTCAAGTTGCAGGATACAAAATCAACATACATAGAATTTCTATATGTTAACAGAAACTGAAACTAAAGAAACTGAAAAATAAAAAGTAGTCCCATTTACAATAACCATGAATAAAATTAAATATGTAGGAATTAACTGAAGGAGTTAAAGATCTCTATA